GAAGATAATTTTCTCCCTGCCTCAACCCTCCATTATTACTCCTGCACCACCTCTCAGTTTGGTAGTAGAGCCGTCTGTCCTCACTATGGGAGTTCGCATGTTCCTTCCTCTGAAGCCCGCTCCCTGCTCCGGGGCACGCCGTTCTTCGTTCCCGAGCCCCCTTGACTGTGCCCCTCCCTGGCTGATCAAATCTCGCCGGACCTTGATGACTTCAGCACAGCCCCCACTCGCCACAACCTTCTCTGTTGAATTACGCCTTCCAACTCTAGTTTCTCCTATTTTAATCTTGCCAAGTTCTATGCATTTATTTTGTCTCGTATCTTTATTTCTTGTTTTCTTTTAGTACTGCTGTTCCACTTCGAGTCTACCTTGAAGACTGTCCCATAATTTTGGACAATTGTATTTTTCATATTATCACTAGGGATGATTTATCCTGTTTATAATTCTTGGCGAGTCCGGCAGTTATAGCTCTATATCTCGTTTGTCTTTGCTCTCGTGCTGGTACTTTGTGATTTTAGTGGCTCTTGCATGTCCATCAACATAGACGGTGCTACATAGTTTACCCGGCGTGGCGCCGCTTTATAATTACTTACACGACTAAAACTTTGATGTAAGGGTATATTGGACTGTACTGACATCTGTTAATAGAGTGCAGTATGTCTGATTTGATTGACAATGCTGTTTTACCGTTCAAGGACAGTGTGTAGGCAGTTAAATATAAAATATAATGCTACCAGTGGAGATTTACATTTACACCATGAAGTTAGAGCAAGTATAAGAGATTCACCAGCAAAGGACAAGAATAAGATGCATTTCATGTCTGGTGCAGAGAAATATATTATTGCTCCCAGTTGAGGTAAATGGTTTAATGTTATGAACATTGGTAAGTAAACGTGAACATATCAGTGTTAGGTGCAACAAATGTTGACACCAGCTGTTGGAATAAGGTGTTATTATGGCACGAGACTTACCATGAGAGCTAAATAGTAAATTGATCATGGTAGAAGCAGTCATGAAATTCAACCAGTAAATCGAGCTTAAATGTAATACATATAAGCCTACAAAATACATAAAAGCGTTTCTTTTCAATATTCAGATGTGCTGGCAAAAAATTGTCTTAATGGCTCTCGAGAGGAGCCAAGACCCTAAACACTGGCTGGGAAGCATAATAAACTGCCACTCATAGGATGGGTACACTGTGCACATTAATCTACCCCACTCAGGATGAAGATTAAGCCACCCCAAGAGAGGGCACGGGCATGAATAGCCCGTAATTAGGATGAATATGGAGCTCACAATAAATGACGTCGTGAGTGGCGGTTGTAGTGCAGTACACTCAGGGGTGACAGGTGCAGTGTAGTACCCTCAGGGGCACCAGGTGTAGTGTAGTACCCTCAGGGGCACCAGGTGTAGTGTAGTGTACCCTCAGGGGCACCAGGTGTAGTGTAGTGTACCCTCAGGGGCAACAGGTGTAGTGTAGTGTACCCTCAGGGGCACCAGGGGTGGCAGGTGTAGTGTAGTACCCTCGGGCACCAGGGGTGGCAGGTGTAGTGTAGTAACCTCAGGGGCACCAGGGGTGGCAGGTGTAGTGTAGTACCCTCAGGGGCACCAGGTGTAGTGTAGTGTACCCTCAGGGGCACCAGGGGTGGCAGGTGTAGTGTAGTACCCTCAGGGGCACCAGGGGTGGCAGGTGTAGTGTAGTACCCTCAGGGGCACCAGGGGTGGCAGGTGTAGTGTAGTACCCTCAGGGGCACCAGGGGTGGCAGGTGTAGTGTAGTACCCTCAGGGGCACCAGGGGTGGCAGGTGTAGTGTAGTACCCTCAGGGGCACCAGGGGTGGCAGGTGTAGTGTAGTACCCTCAGGGGCACCAGGGGTGGCAGGTGTAGTGTAGTACCCTCAGGGGCACCAGGGGTGGCAGGTGTAGTGTAGTACCCTCAGGGGCACCAGGGGTGACAGGTGCAGTGTAGTACCCTCAGGGGCACCAGGGGTGACAGGTGTAGTGTAGTACCCTCAGGGGCACCAGGGGTGGCAGGTGTAGTGTAGCCCCCTCAGGGGATGGGGTGGCAGGTGTAGTGTAGCCCCCTCAGGGGATGGGGTGGCAGGTGTAGTGTAGCCCCCTCAGGGGCTGGGCCCCCGAGGGGTGGCAGGTGAAGTGTAGCCCTCTCAGGGGCTGGGGTCTCTGGGGGAGGCAGGTGTAGTGTAGCCCCCTCAGGTGCTGCGGTCCCTGGGGGGAGGCAGGTGTAGTGTAGCCCCCTCAGGGGCTGGGCCCCCGGGGGAAGGCAGGTGTAGTGTAGCCCCCTCAGGGGCTGGGGCCCCCGGGGGGTGGCAGGTGTAGTGTTGCCCCCTTAGGGGCTGGGGTCCCTGGGGGAGGCAGGTGTAGTGTAGCCCCCTCAGGGGCTGGGGTCCCGGGGGGGTGGCAGGTGTAGTGTAGCCCCCTCAGGGGCTGGGGGAGGCAGGTGTAGTGTAGCCCCCTCAGGGGCTGGGGTCCCCGAGGGGTGGCAGGTGTAGTGTAGCCCCCTCAGGGGCTGGGGTACCTGGGGGTGGCAGGTGTGGTGTAGCCCCCTCAGGGGCTGGGGCCCCCGGGGGGTGGCAGGTGTGGTGTAGCCCCCCGCAGGGTCTTGACCCCCCTGGGGGATGGGGGAGGGTGGCCGCTGCCGCCATCTGTCAACACGGGGCGGCAGTGGACAACATGGCGGGCAGTGAGTGCCGGCGCAGACGACGCTCTCCGTGATTTTCGGTGTAAACCTCACTTGTCAGGAGCGGTGACACCATGTTTCACGTGACGTAGGCACTCGTGAGTGTCGAGTAGTGTCACTCGGGCAGGTGCAGCGCTCCCCCGGCACTCTTGAGTGGATATAACCGCTCAAAATGCGCTAGTTGACGGGGCCAGACCTCGTCACCACCACCTACAGGGAGTCCTTGCCTCTCCGAGCTGCGGTGAGTACTGTCTCTCTTGTGTCCTTAATGATCCCCCAGGGTCACCCTGGGAGGAGCTCACCCTGGGAGGGGGTCACCCTGGGAGGCAGAGTTGCTGTGGGCGCCTCCAGTCACTTGTGCAGTCACTTGTGTGGGCCTGGGACACGTATACATGCATGCTGGCGCTCCTCCCGTGTTGTATAACACCTGGCCTCCCCTGGCTACTCGACGCCCTGGGCAGCCAGGTGTGTGTCAAGCTGTCTCTTGTGTGAGAACATGTGTCGTGTTGGGGGGGGGGTCTTTGACAAGCCGTCGGCTTTCTGTCCTCGTCCAGGCTACAAGTCCAATGGGTAAATTCGTGTTTGTGGGAAGGTATATTAGGGTCAGGTGTGTTGGGACGTGAAAAGTGTCAGGTGTATGGAGACAGGTATATAGTGACATGTGTGTGGGGGCAGGTATATGAGGTCACGTTGGTGGGGGACAGGTGTACAGTGTCATGTGTGTGAGGGCAGGTATATAAGGTCACGGTGGTGGGGACATGTGTGTGAGGGCAGGTATATGAGGTCACGTTGGTGGGGACAGGTGTATAGTGTCATGTGTGTAAGGGCAGGTATATAAGATTACGTTGGTGGGGAACAGGTGTATAGTGTCATGTGTGTGAGGGCAGGTATATAAGATTACGTTGGTGGGGAACAGGTGTATAGTGTCATGTATGTGAGGGTAGGTATATAAGATCACGTTGGTGGGGGACAGGTGTATGGGGGGACAGATGTATAGTGTCATGTGTGTGGGGACAGGTATAAAGTGTCGAATAGTTGTGGACAGGTGTATGTGGTCAAGATTATTTTTGTTAACGAGGCGTGTGCTGGGTCAGATGTGTCGCGTCAGGTATATATATATGATCAAGTGTTTGTGATATAGACCAGAGATTTGAGGTAATGAATATTAGAACAAGTTCACAGGTTGGTAGGGGGGGGAGGTGGAAGTGTATGGGAGCAGGTGTGTAATGAGGAGGTTGGTGCCAGGTGTAAGCCAGGTAGGTGTACAATGTCAGTTGTGTGAGGCTTCAGTATGTAGAGTTATACCCCGTGTCACGGCCGTTTTTTTTTCCTACCACAGACGTGGCCAGACATTTACAATGCTAACCAACATATATACATTTTCTTCTGTCCTCCATGGACAGGGTTAGAGAAGTGTTAAACATATAGTTCAAGGGTTTATTGAACACTCAACCACAGAAGGTGATTCGGTGCTTTTAAAATGCTAAGCTAACGTATATACGTAAATACATAGATACACAGATTTACGTATGCCCTACATAAAGTGTTTGATGTGTCTTTTACATAGTGTCATTAATGTGCATTTACAAAGGTGAAATGTAATTCTGATCAGCTTCCATATATACTTTATACCCCATACATATACACACACACACACACACACATATGCATACATATATACACACACATGCATTCACATACATTTGTCTCATTTACTCTGACAGGGTGAGATAGCTGATAAAGAAACTAGTGTGCAATTAAGCACTTAATCACTGAAGGTGATGAAGGTGCTTTTACAAGCTCAGGTTATATAGTTACATCATATATATACATTGTATAATTGATATATTACATGGTCAATCTTGGATACAGGTCTAATATATCATCAAGTGTTCCAGTACTCATATAGTAACCACAGAGTTCAGCATACCTTAGCCCAGGAGGGCGAAAGTCAGTCAATATGGGACATTCTACAATATAATGTTCAAGAGAGTGCATGTTTTCTCTTTCACAAAGTTGACACATTGTGTACTCGACACTTTCACACAGTTGACACATTGTGTACTCGACACTTTCACACAGTTGACACATTGTGTACTCGACACTTTCACACAGTTGACACATTGTGTACTCGACACTTTCACACAGTTGACACATTGTGTACTGGACACTTTCACAAAGTTGACACATTGTGTACTGGACACTTTCACAAAGTTGACACATTGTGTACTCGACATTTGGGTTTTGAGAAAGCTGCCAGATACGTCTATATCCCAGGCGTATTCTGGCCACTATAACATCACATTGCCGGGTTCTTGTTCTATTAGTCCCATATGTGAATGTCTCCTCACGATATCTATCATAATATTTAATGCTACAACTTATTTGTGAATTTGTTAGGTCGGTGAGATCTTCATTAGATTGTTGTTAAAGATTCGCTACCTGAAACAAAAAGTTCCAAGTAACACGGGCTATGGTGAGCCCGTAGATAGTTATATATTTGTTTAAGTATTGTCTTTGTCACTGGTCACGGCCGTGATGCAGAGTAGGCCTATAGTAGGCTCAGTTGTGTGGAGCCCGGATAATAGAGTCGGTTGTGTAGAGCCCGGATAATAGGGTGGGTTGTGTGGAGCCCGGATAATAGAGTCGGTTGTGTGGAGCCCGGATAATAGGGTCGGTTGTGTGGAGCCCGGATAATAGGGTCGGTTGTGTGGAGGCCGGATAATAGGGTCGGTTGTGTGGAGCCCGGATAATAGGGTCGGTTGTGTGGAGCCCGGATAATAGGGTCGGTTGTGTGGAGCCCGGATAATAGGGTCGGTTGTGTGGAGCCCGGATAATAGGGTCGGTTGTGTGGAGCCCGGATAATAGGGTCGGTTGTGTGGAGCCCGGATAATAGGGTCGGTTGTGTGGAGCCCGGATAATAGGGTCGGTTGTGTGGAGCCCGGATAATAGGGTCGGTTGTGTGGAGCCCAGATAATAGGGTCGGTTGTGTGGAGCCCGGATAATAGGGTCGGTTGTGTGGAGCCCGGATAATAGGGTCGGTTGTGTGGAGCCCGGATAATAGGGTCGGTTGTGTGGAGCCCGGATAATAGGGTCGGTTGTGTGGAGCCGGATAATAGGGTCGGTTGTGCGGAGCCGGATAATAGAGTCGGTTGTGTGGAGCCCGGATAATAGGGTCGGTTGTGTGGAGCCCGGATAATAGGGTCGGTTGTGTGGAGCCCGGATAATAGGGTCGGTTGTGTGGAGCCCGGGTAATAGGGTGGGTTGTGGAGCCCGGATAATAGGGGTGGGTTGTGGAGCCCGGGTAATAGGGGTGGGTTGTGTGGAGCCCGGGTAATAGGGTGGGTTGTGGAGGACGGATAATAGGGTGGGTTGTGGAGCCTGGATAATAGGGGTGGGTTGTGTGGAGCCCGGATAATAGGGGTGGGTTGTGTGGAGCCCGGATAATAGGGTGGGTTGTGTGGAACCCGGATAATAGGGTGGGTTGTGGAGGACAGATAATAGGGGTGGGTTGTGGAGGACGGATAATAGGGGTGGGTTGTGGAGCCCGGATAATAGGGTGGGTTGTGTGGAGCCCGGATAATAGGGGTGGGTTGTGGAGCCCGGATAATAGGTGTGGGTTGTGGAGCCCGGATAATAGGGTGGGTTGTGTGGAGCCCGGATAATAGGGGTGGGTTGTGGAGCCTGGATAATAGGGGTGGGTTGTGGAGCCCGGATAATAGGGGTGGGTTGTGGAGCCCGGATAATAGGGGTGGGTTGTGGAGCCCGGATAATAGGGGTGGGTTGTGGAGCCCGGATAATAGGGTGGGTTGTGGAGACCGCATAATGATGGCAAATTACCATATCTTAAGGAAGGTGACACGTGTCGAGTGAGAGAGAGACGAGAGATGAGAGAGATGAGAGAGTGAGAGAGATGAGAGAGATGAGAGAGTGAGAGATGAGAGAGAGAGATGAGTGAGAGAGTGAGAGAGATGAGATAGTGATGAAAGGGAGAGTGAGAGAGATGAGTGAGAGAGATGAGTGAGAGAGATGAGTGAGAGAGATGAGTGAGAGAGATGAGTGAGAGAGATGAGTGAGAGAGATGAGAGAGGTGAGAAAGTGAGAGAGGTGAGAGTAAGAGAGATGAGTGAGAGTAAGAGAGATGAGTGAGAGTAAGGGAGATCAGTGAGAGTGAGAGAGGTGAGAGAGAGGCGAGAGTAAGAGTGAGAGAGGTGAGAGTGAGAGAGAGGTGAGAGTAAGAGAGATGCGTGAGAAAGAGAGATGCGTGAGAGTGAGAGAGGTGAGAGTAACAGAGGTGAGTGAGAGAGGCCAGAGAGGATAATAATTTGTCTGATACACAAAATGATGCTCTGGTAATTTACCCGTGTGACAGTGTTGGGTAGTTAACTGCAACTCCACACCCTGTAACACCACACCCTGTAACACCACACACTGTAACACCACACACTGTAACACCACACACTGTAACACTACACACTGTAACACCACACACTGTAACACCACACCCTGTAACACCACACCCTGTAACACCACACCCTGTAACACCACACCCTGTAACACCACACCCTGTAACACCACACACTGTAACACCACACACTGTAACACTACACACTGTAACACCACACACTGTAACACCACACCCTGTAACACCACACCCTGTAACACCACACACTGTAACACCACACACTGTAACACTACACACTGTAACACCACACCCTGCAACACCACACCCTGTAACACCACACACTGTAACACCACACACTGCAACACTACACACTGTAACACCACACCCTGTAACACCACACACTGTAACACCACACCCTGTAACACCACACACTGCAACACCACACCCTGTAACACCACACCCTGTAACACCACACCCTGTAACACCACACACTGTAACACCACACACTGTAACACCACACACTAACACCACACACTGCAACACCACACACTGCAACACCACACCCTGCAACACCACACCCTGTAACACCACACCCTGTAACACCACACACTGTAACACCACACACTGTAACACCACACACTGTAACACCACACACTGTAACACCACACCCTGTAACACCACACCCTGTAACACCACACACTGTAACACCACACACTGTAACACCACACACTGTAACACCACACACTGCAACACTACACCCTGTAACACCACACACTGTAACACCACACACTGTAACACCACACACTGTAACACCACACCCTGTCACACCACACACT